ACAATCCATTCTTGTTCATCAAAGTCCTTAAGCACCTGAAACATTGGTATCCATCTCTTTTTACTGCTATAGGGGTCATCTGGCTAGGATTACATGCCCCGCTTTCAGGCACTTAAGTTAACTGAGCTGAACTCCATGCAAGGTATATGTGTTTGTGTACCAGAGACAGAAGAAGGTGGATAAAAGGAAAAATAAGAGACAGAGAAAAGAACAAGTCTCTACAACAAATTTAATGAGCTAGAAAGCAAGCAAGAGAAATGGGCACTGCTTTTACATTGTTATTAACAATTAGGCATGAATTTTGACCAGCCTTATTTGCCCAGTGATGCACCAAGCCCTCTTCCCTCTCCCTCCTCCCCGTCCCACAAGAACTGCAGAAAACATCATAGAGAACTCCAGGTTTCAGTGCTGTTTGGGGCTTTTCCATGCTTGACATTTCAATGTGTTAACAGCCGGAATGCTTTTTCACCCCATTAAAGTTATTCTAAAACAACACCCAGCACATTTTTAGAGCCAATGTGCAGAATTAAATTTGCTTCAAGCAAATAAGGATATTTGCTTTATTTTACTTTTCACAAACAATGATGAAAAAGTAATCGCATCATTCAGATATTCTTAAAATAATTATTTTAGATCCTGGTGTACCACCTACATCTCAGAGAGTTTGTAAACCACTATTTCATGTGCGTTTTGCAAAAACTGTAATCAGAAATTTATTTAGTGTTAACAAAATACAATAAAGAATGGTTCTGGAAAGCAGAAATGAAACAAAGTCAGCCAGTGTTTCTTCCACTGACAGAAATTTAAAACAAACAAACAAACAAAAAAAAACCAATAACTTCTCTACTCTCACTATGCAAGCATCACAATGAGACAGCCAGACAAGAATGCACTACACCAACTGTATACACACATACACCATTTCAAATTCTTACATGTGCATACATTTCCTGAACCTAAACTTGCACCAGCCTGCAGTGAGCGTATGTGCTGAAGATTATGGAAGTAAAGCAATCTCATCAGTTTAGTGAAGATACAGTAATTACTGTTTAGGAATTATTTTGCCAAAATTGCCTAGGGAATTTCCACAAGTAGACCTTAAAAACACATAAATAAAGATGACAGGATGTTTTTCTTCTCAAGACTAAAGCAATTGAATGCATTATTTCTTGAAAGACACACTAATTCTGCAAAATGACAACGATGAGCAAAGGTGCAGATCAGTTATCAGGCCTACTGAACTTAATATTCCTGTTTACAAACGTTTTGCCAGAGGCAAAAGAAAACTAAGTACAAGTATATCTGTCTAACTATTTGCATCTTCCATTCCAAAAAACACAGGTATGCACAGGAATATTTCACATAAGCATGCTAGACAAACTTTCCTATGAGGGGTTGAGGACTAGATTTTTAGGAGTTTGGGTGCTTAGATGCTCAGAGACCACACTCTACCATCACCTCCTCCTACAAAGGTCACTTTTCCCATAAGCGCTTAGTTTTCAAAATAAAATGTATCTCAACAACTTGTTTGTAAGGAATCTGTGTCTTGGGACAGAAATGCTCTGCTTCCAGTCTCAGTGGGAAGTTCTTCCTGAGCACTTCCAGATGGAACTGCAGCATTTCCATCCCATTACGTTCTTCACTGTAGGGCTCAATCCAATGAACCTTCAGACCTGGATTGGAGCACACACAAAATGGGTTAAGGTTTCTCATAAAGCACTGCCAAGCTGGTCCTCAGCTGGAGGATGGGAGAATGAAGTTCAAATCCCTCCTCCATTTCTTTTGGAGCAGGAAATTTAACTCCTCCTTCCCTCACAGAAAATCCTTTAATATGGGTACTCAACAGCAAGAAGACACAGAAAGAGGAGTCTTAAAAAAATACCTCACTGAAGCTATTGCCATTTAACTAAATACTTAAAATATAGTAATAACAAAAACTTGAAAATATTCCATTGGATTTCATGTTTACACTGAAGTGACCAAAATGACAATCTCTTTTTGCAGATTTCAGATCAATGCATGACGTACTCACAGAGGATGTATAAAGATCTGGATCCTTGAGCAGTTATAAGAACAAGGGATAATATATTTACCTGCTGATGCACAGACAAAGCAACAGTGGGTTTATGTGGCTTTGGTTCTTAATTCTAGAATACATAAAGACCAAATGGAGGAAGATTCTTGCCTTCAGCTAAAGTTGTTTGGCCTTCTTGCAGAAGAAAATTTGTAGAAATTATTAAAGAAACCAGACATGCAGAATTCTCAGTTCACAGCACAAAACACTTCCAAATCACATCAAGCAGCTGCTCATCTGCAGTAAATCAAATCCTTAATAAGCAATGCGTTCTAATATATGACTTGGGCACAGCTGCCTTTTTTTCTGGTCCTTCTTAGATCCAAACGAATACAGAAACGGAATCTACAAACAGCTTCATATATATGAACAATATATTTGCACTAGGTAGGAAAAAATGGAGGAGCGCTCATAAATTCTTCCTACAGTCATGCCCACGTTGCCAGTGTATCAATCCAAAGGCTGCTGTGTGTACCACTTCAGAGGTCACTGCTGGGACATTTCACTGCACAAATACTGTACAATAGAAAATACAATACTGAAAGGACACAACTCTGCTTTCAGTTCATCTATTTTCACCAACAGATTTTTGTTTGGTACATAAAGACAATAATAATTCTCAAATACTGGCAACTATCCCAGGTCATAAATTTAAAAGAAAGGTCTTATTGCAAAAAGACCAAATGGTTCGTGTTTTCATCAGAGTTCACAATTTGAAATTGAGAAGCTATACCTTGTTACAAGTAACTCTTAAGAGTAATAAAACAGCAATAAATTGGGTTAAAAAAGTATTTTTACTCAATTTTTCTTCAGTTTATCTCTTGTACAGGGAACAACAACAACACATGCATAACCCAGTTCTAACCCTATTCTTGAGGCGATTATGAACACTCAGGAGACCAACCTTTCAAACCCAAGCCATTTCCTAATAACAAATATGTACTAAGGATAACATTCTGTTGAAGGCAACGTTGGCCCAGGGGTGCTGGAACATTAACACACGCACACAGACTGGCTGTACGTTCCTCCAACCAGCTCCAGGACAGTCTTCTGGCACAACACCAACTCAACATATGTCACGCTCATGCACTGCTCTGGTGGAAGCTCATTTAGATGATTTTTCCCCAGTTTTAGAAGGTAAATATAACCACTTCGTGTAAATTCAAACAGAACTGAAAAAGAAACAGCAATGTGCAATCTGTAGGAAATGTGGGTTGAGTCAAGCACATATCATATTATTCCCCATTCTCTTCTCAAGGTAAAGCCTCAAAAAAAAACCTACTGTGTGAACCTCTACAGTATCTAACAACTTCAGGATATGGATTTAAGTAGTATATATCTTCTACTGTTTTATTTGACCCAATAAAATAATCTTTTCCTTCCAGAAACTTACAGACAATCCTACCATTATTTGAAATCTCACTTTAAAGTAGTCTACTTCCAAACATGAGACATTGCCAAGTCCCCTTTCTCTCCAAATTTAAAATATTTAAGAGCTGTTATCAGAATACAATGACACACCAGCTAGCACAACAAATCGTGAAAGGTCAGATTGCACTCTTCCATTTTCTCCTCAAAATAACGTCAGGATTATTGAAGTTTCCACTCAATAATTTCAAATTTCAACAGGAGAACAAAAATCTGAACTTAATGCACGTACTTTTAAGTGAAACATTCTCTTAAACAACAAACTGTATACATTTTATTAACTCTTCCTCCTCAGATTTCCAGCAATAATGCATGCCTCCAGAAAGTCTACCTTTGTAATCTATTGAAAAAATTTCTCTGATCATTTTATCATAAAACTCAAGATTCCTAGCACTTGAAAAAGTCTCATAAGGGCCAGAGACATGGGCCACAGACAAAGCTCTGCCGCTCAGTATACAGACCAACTCTTACAAATCTACAAAATTAATTCCTGCAAAGAAGCTCTTCATTTTGTCATATAAATATTAAGCATGCCAATTTCTTTACATGATAGGTGATGTTTTTCTAAGTCTGTGCCTTTGGAAAGCCACAGGTCAAGAATATAACAGCAAGAAGAATGAACAATGGGCTATTCTTCTCACAATGGTGACAAAGATATGAATAGCATTAAGTTCACAGCAGGGATATCACCTACACATACACAGTGCTCCACGCTTCTGTTTTCTGAACACGTGACCCTAGTTATCCAGCAGACAATTCTTTCATGCTTGGTGTTTCTCTCCCTCCGATGGATCACAGAGTGTTACAAGAACAGCAATGTGAACTTCAGAAGCAAGTTTGAGACAGAAAGTTGCTGACAGGATAACAGGTGAGCAATGTTTTTTCCATGATAACTAGGACAACGTATGAAAAACTCTTAACTATGAACACTGATCATCATCCCCACCAAAGGCATGAAAAGAGATTTAATGCAAGGCTAAACTGACAAATACCAACAGCTTTCAACATCTCATCTAAACATCTGATGCTGCAAAAAGAAAGTAATACTATGCATACCTCAGACTAGGTGCTCAACTGCAGTATCTGCATCTTTAGATTGCTCCTGATTTACTATCTGCAACATTGAAGATCTAAGATACCTAACGTACATCAAATGGGAAGAGATGTTTTCTAATACTGGGGGTTATAAACAAGCTCACTGATCCTTAATGTACCAGCCATAAAGGTAGATGTGGATTCTTTCAGTGACCCGCTGCCAAACTGAGTAACCTCTGACCAATAAAATTCCCAACAAAGTGTGCACCTCCTGGCAAAGAATGAAAGCTGTCACTGATGTGTTTTGGGTATTTTTTAGCAACAGCTTACCTGAGTAAACACATAAACATTTAACCCAAGGCCAGCAAGCCAGACGCAGCATGTTTAGCTGCTGGTTCCTACATCTGTCTGCACATCACCAATTTATGTAACTACCATTTTATAAAATATATAAGGATGTTACCTTTCTGGACATGGATGATGTCTGGGAAGTTGGCCAAATGCCCCTGATACAGCGCTAACAAATCCATCACAGGATCTAGGTCCTGTCGGGGCTGATCTGCAAACAGGTCCCCGATGGTGTCGTAGGCTTCTGCAGTGAAGGCTATAGCTTGGTTGAGGCCAGCAGAGAAGGCCTGCTGGTCCAGCTCAAATGCCTGGCTGAGGCACTTAAAGGAGTGCCCCACCTTCTGATATTCCTTCTTGAATCCAGTGACTTGTTTGCGGGCAAACTCATTGGCGGTGTGATTAAGCTGCAGGGCGCTCTCATCCATCTTCTTTGTGAAGGCTTTGAAGCCATCCACCTGGCTTTCCACTTCCTGCAAGTCCAGGACAGCCCCAGGGCCAGTGGGGACACTGATGGTCAGGAAGAAGTTGGCACCCACCATCTCGTCTTTCTCGGCCTTGCGCTTGCCCTGCTTCCAGGCCTTCTCATCCGTGCTGGGACAAGTGAGGAAATGCTGGAAGGCATCACACTGCGCCAGCACGGGGTGGCTGCACATGTGGTCCATCCACCAGGCCAGGCCTTTGCGACGTTTGGATATGAAGTCCTCCTCGAAGCGGCCGGTAGCCTGCTTCTCAGGCAGGTGGGGCACGGAGATGACAGGGAACTTCTCAGCCAGGCGCCCATAGAGCCAGTCAAAGTGCTTGTAACGGCGGTGCACCTGCTGCCCGGTGTGGCTGGGCACCAGCTTGTAGGCAATGTAGCTCTTCATGCCCTTGAACTTGGTCTGCTTGGTGGGGTCCTCAATGGAGCACTGGAAGGGGTAGGGGTTCTCCTGCCACTCGGGGCCGCGGGGGCCAAGCACCACGCACAGCTTGTCCCCGTCCTTCACGAAGCCCGACGCCTCTCCGAGCACGAAGGCCTCCCCTCCCGACTTGACGAAGGTGGAGAAGCGGTTGAGGTTGCGGCTCACGGTGGCCGAGCTCTTGGCCCCGCCGCCGCCGGACGGGTGTGGGTGTCCCACGGGGTGGCCGCCGCCGCGGGAGCCCAGCGATAGCTCGGAACGCGTGGACAGCCGGTATCGGCCCGGCGCAGCGCCGCCGCCCGCCGCCTCGTAGTCGGGGTAGGAACTGCTCAGGGCGCCCGGCTCGTCCGCCACCGTGGAGCTGTCGTCCCAGTCGTCGTCCCAGTCGTCATCGCTGCCCTGGCTGGGCTGGTAGGAGCCGCCGTAGGGCGCCGGCGGGAAGGGGTACCCGGCGGCGGCGGGCGGCAGCGGGAAGGGCTCGGGCTGCTGCGCGGCCGGCTTGAAGGCGGCGGGCGGCGGCAGCGGCTCGAAGCCGCCGGCGGGGACGTTGGCGTAACGGGCGGGCGGCGGCGGCTCGGCGGCGGGGGCGCGGATCACCTGCACGTAGGAGGCCGGGAAGAGGCCGCGGTCGCCGCGGCTGTTTACGCCCTCCAGCCAGCCCTCGATGTCCTGCTCGCTGCACAGGCTCAGCACCTCGTGCTCCCGCAGCGAGATCTCCCCCGGGTTCTCCGACCTGAAGTCGTAGAGCGCCCGCGCACGCAGCGCCATGGCCCCGCCGAGCGCCCGCCCGTCGCCCCCCGGACCCGGACCCGGACCCGGACCCGGACCCGGACCCGCCGCCCGCTCTCACCCCCCGGGGCTGCGGGAGGAGCGCACCGCTGCCGCCCGGCGCCGGCCCCGCGTCCCACCCGTAGGGACGGTGCGGCGGCCCTCGGCTCCTCGGTGCGGTGCGCTGCACTGCGCTGCGGCTCGGCCGGCGGGTAGCGAGTCCCGGCTTCACCCCGGCGGGCGAGGCAGGGCGCGGGGCCGGGCCGGGGACCGTCCCACGTCGCCAGTTTCGCTAATCCAGAGCCGAGAGGCAGGGCGGAGGAGCCGAGTGCAGAGCGGCCGCCCCCATCGATGGGCCCGGCCCGCCCCTTCCCGCCCATTCCCTCATGTCCTGGCGCGGGGCTGCCCGCGAGACGGGCGATGTCGGCCGCGCCGTGTCGGCCCCTGGGGCGCTGCCGGCGATGGGGGAAGCAAGCGGCGTCTGCGGGGCCAGGCTGTGCTCGCTGTGCAAAGACTCGCGTCTTTGCTGATTCAGGGGGGTATTTTTGGTCCTCTCAGTGCTACCAGCAGAGACAGAGTGGGAGATGTGATGTGCACACTTTGAAGTTATGAACATAATTAAGAAAGATGCTCTGAAGATAGTGCCTCCTAGATTATCTTTTGGCCCACCATATCAAAGGTGGATGGTCATGGTATGGTGGTGTGGGAGAGATTGGACCTCTGCTGTCGTAGTTCAGCTGGAGGTGTGAGGTCATCATCCCTGGAGGTTTTCAAGAATTGTGTGAACATGGCACTGAGGGACGTAGTGTTCATGATGGCGATGGCTTGACAGTTGGACTTGTTGATCTTAGAGGTCTTTTCTGTTCTTAACGATTCTGTGATTCTTTGATTCTGATGTATTTTGTTGCCATATGACAGATGACAGCAGTCTGACAGAATGGCGTCTGACATGCAAGTATATATGAACCAGAAAAACATGAAATGAAGGGGTGGAAGTTGATGGAGACCAAGCAGTGAATGGGAGCACAGTGAGGTGGTGGGTGTGCATTTCAGCCATGGCAACAGTGACAGTTGGTCACCTCTGCTGGTGCAGATTACTGCAAGTATTCATTGCTGGTGAACACGAATAAGTGATGGTGGTGAGTATTACAAAATATTGTTTTATAACTGAGAATTTCCTCTTAGGAAATAGTGTTATTATGTTCTTTGCATCCATTGTAGTTTTCATGGAAATAAATAGCAGGCCTTAATTTCAGAGCAACCAACAAAGATAGGAATATGTTGTGATTTTGTAACATCTCCTTATTGATAAAATGAACCTCCATATTCTGAATGCCACCTATTGCACTGTACAGACTTTAGTACTCCCAGGTTCTCTCTCTTGAATCCCTCAGTGATTTTTCCTAGGCCTGTGAGGTACCTACACTAGCAGGAACTCAGGCACAAGCACTGTTTCACAAAGGTGTCAGTGCTCCACCTGGTCAGTCCAGATGTATGCAGTTCCCCAAAGTCTGTATTTCATTCATAGAATCATAGAATCATAGAATAGAATGGCCTCAGTTGAAAAGGACCTCAAAGATCATCTGGGTTCAACCCCCTGCTATGTGCAGGGTCACCAACCACCAGACCAGGCTGCCCAGAGCCACATCCAGCCTGGCCTTGAATGCTTCCAGGGATGGGGCATCCACAACCTCCTTGGGCAACCTGTTCCAGTGTGTCATCACCCTCTGTGTGAAAAACTTCCTCCTAATATCTAACCTAAACCTCCCCTGTCTCAGTTTAAGACCATTCCCCCTTGTCCTATCATTATCCACCCTCATAAACAGCCGTTATCCCTCCAGTTATACTCTTCCTTCAAGTACTAGAAGGCCACAATGAGACCTACCCAGATCCTTCTCCAAGCTAAACAGGCCCAGTTCCCTCAACCTTTCTTCATAGGAGAGGTTCTCCAGGCCACTGAGCCCTCCTCTGGACCCGCTCTAAGAGCTCCATGTCCTTGTAGTGGGGGCCCCAGGCCTGGATGCAGTACTGCAGAAGGGGAGAGTGTTCACAGGGTGTTGTGAGAAGGAAGGTTTATGCCATCAGTCCTTGAGTTTTCCAGTATAGGATATGACACAGATGTGGTAAGAATGTTTCCCAGTGGGTCATCTCTGTGCAACCATTTGAAAGAAAGCAAGTGGTCTACACACTGGCTGTGTACCTCTTCCTACCCTTTGTGTTTCTCCTGAGGGCAGAGTTGTTTTCACAGGCCTTGGTGGCCGCTCTTGACCCTCCACCATCACCTGGTCAGACACTGAGTTCTAACATTTCTCTTATTTTGAAGTCTATGTCAGTTCTCAATGATTGTTGTGTCAGATGACGTGGGCAATTCATAATGATGCTACTGACTCACTGCTTGCTTTCAATACTGTACTTAATGTTGTCTGGCACCTGGGTTTTGCTTTTGCTTGCTGTTTTCTTCTGGCCTTCATTTTCCCCATTTGACTGCACATATTGTCACAGTGCTTTCGTTTACCACTGCTTAGTGTATTTCGCATGCATCACACGACTCCAGCCAAGATGTTACCCAACATTCCTTCCCGCCTGGCTGTGGAAGTCTGCCTTAATTTTACCCCATTCTGATACTGATCAGAGAACTGCAGCTGATGTTCCACAAGAGCTGGTCATTGTGATCTTACTGCTGCACACTCAGAACCTGCTGTCAGTGTCAGGATTTTCATCTTCTGAACACAGAAAATTCATAGTATGCAGGAGGCCCACTGTGCTATCCTCAGCCTGTGGCCAGCTCAGAGTGAGAACTGAACACAGTAAGAGGAGGTATGGATCAGTTTAATCTCTGTCTCAGATTTCATCCCTGGTTTTGACTGCAAATCAAGAGAAGTTGTCAGGGTTTTATATTCCTTCAAAGTCACTCCTAAAACTGATCATAGTTTGGTCTGGGCAAACTTTGCATTCAGAGGAATCCTGACAGGTTGAATACAGGAAAATAGTTCCTGATCTGCCTATTCTATACCATTGTTTTGTATGTGTTTTACTGCATCTTATTGTATTTCTCTCCTGAACTTTATTTTAATCTTAATTTTCAATTCTCTTAGCTGTTATTGTTGTTTTCTCTGATTTTTTTTACATTTTTCTATGTAATTCGATCAATACTGGAAATAATGCTGACCTACTAGATGGATGGTTTTAAATTTGCCTTCACTGAACAGCCTGGAGTGACAGAGAGATACCTTTCCCTGCCACAAACCTAGCTGAGGAATTGGATTTTGCTGCCCCAAGTGGAGAGGAGCTGTGCTTTCAGTATCGAGAAGTCTGTCTCTGTCCCAGGAAGGGAAGGGGGAAGGAAAGGGGTGGGAAGGAGTCGAACTGTATTTCGGTATGCCCAGTTGTGGAGAGCTGTCCTGCATTCTCTTATATCCACCCACTGCTTTTTTCTTAATAATTTCTGGCTCATTGTTTGTAACTTAAATGAACACAAGTGAAGGTATCAACTTCAGAAAGTGCCAGAACTGACACAGTTGGGTTTTGAAGGCATAACATCTGCAAAGCTAATAAAAATAATATTTTTTACATGTTATTCACTACAGTATTTCAGCTCTCTGATATTAACCAAAACTAAGTTACATGAAATTCTCATGGCTTTTCAGGCTCTAAACAAACAATAAGGCAAAAATATGAAAAGAAAAACTATTTCCCTAATGAATAAAACCACGAGGAGAACTTAAAATGATAACTAGCATGAAATTACATTTTCTATTTGTCTTCCATCAGTGAGCCAGCTCTGGCAGCAGTTGTGTGTACAGGCACACTGCTGTGGGTTTAAAAATCAATGTTTAAAAAAACAAAACAAAACAACAGCAACAAAACATCGTTTTCCGGAAAACTAACCTGCAAAATTAGAAACCACCCATGATAAATATTTTTGAAAGTTTGAAAATGCCAGCTTCTGAGGACCTCAGTAACCACCTGTACTGCTAAGTAAAAAAGCTGGATTTATTGAGCTTTCTTTCTTCTTCAGAGTACCAGAGGGAAGGGATTCTAAGTCAGAATCATACATACTGTTTTATAGCATTTTATCTGCCTGAAACATGTACCTGAATGCTTTGCTTGATAGGGAATTTCTACCATCTTCAATCTGAAATAAATTTTCAGAGTCAAAGTGAATGTCATTATGTTGCTCTGATCCAACTGAGATCAGAACCCATAACTCAGTAAAGAGGACTGCATGCTCTATGGGGGGGTGAAAAAGAAAATATGCAGTTTCTAAGTGTGGGTTAATCTGTTGTTTTCATTTGGAGTTGAGCATCTCAAGACTCCTGATAATCTGTGCTGAAAGAAGTGTATGAAACATTGTAATTCAATTTCTTCTCAGGTCAGAAGCTTATTATCAACAATTTGAGAACATGAAGGAGAAGGTAAGAATATTAAGCTATCCTTCTTTAAAAATGTGAGTAAAAATATGAGACCCTACAACCAAAAATAATGTGTGTATCAACCCAAATATATTTTTTCCTCAAAACTTTCAAATATTTCTTTCTTTCTTTTGTTGATTTTCCTCTGTGTTATCACTTCATTCCTTTAGGAAGGAAAACACAATGATTTTCCAGGAGCAAAGATGAAGCTCTGGTAGTATTTAGCCTTTTCACTTTTACCATTATGAGGATTCCTCCCTGGAAAAACTATGTGTCTGGTTATTGTGTAATGCCTAGTAGGAAGCACAGGATAGTGCTTTGTGGTAGGAAATGGATACAAATAGGCCAAATATCATTTCTGAGAGCAAACTGAGTCAAATGCCTACAGAGTGAGTTTTTATTGTTCCTATTTATGTTTCATCTTTAGATGATTTTAGATGATGTCATTTACATGGATATGCAAGGCTCTTGACATGGTCCCCACCACATTCTTATCTCCAAATTGCAGACGTGGATTTGATGGATGGACCACCTGGTGGTGATCAATGGTTCTGTGACCAGGTGGAGGCCAGTAATGAGTGATGTCCTCCAGGGGTCTGTCTTGGGACAGTGCTTTGTAACATCTGTATCAATGACATCGATGTAGGAATCGAGTGCACCTTCAGCAAGTTTGCTGATGTCACCAAGCTGAGTGGTGCGGTTGACACAGCGGAAGGAAGGGATGCCATGCAGAGGGCCGCAGCAGACTTGAAAGGTGGGCCGTGTGAACCTAATGAGGTTCGACATGGCAAAGTGCAGAGTTTTGCACTTGGGCCAGAGGAATCCCAGGCATCCATGCAGACTGGAAGGAGCAGTCCTTGAGAGCAGCCCTGCAGAGAAGAATCTGGGGTCCTGATGGATGAAAAACTTAACATGAATGAGCTGTGTGCCCTTGCAGCTTGGAAAGCAAATGGTATCCTGGGCTCCATCAGAAGAGGGGTGGCCAGCAGGGACAGGGAGGTGATTGTCCCCATCTACTCTGCTCTTGTGAGGCCTCATCTGGAGTACTGCGTCCAAGTGTGTAGCCTTCAGTACAAGAAAGACAGGGAGCTGTTGGAGAGGGTCCAGAGGAGGGCCACCAAGATGATCAGGGGACTGGAGCACCTCCCCTGTGAAGGCAGGCTGAGGGAGCTGGGCTTGTTCAGCCTGGAGAAAAGAAGGCTGTGGGGTGACCTCATTGCAGCCTTTCAATACCTAAAGGGAGCCTACAGACAGGAGGGGAGTCAACTCTCTACAAGGATAAATAATGGCAGGACAAGGGGAGATGGTTTTAAGTTGGAGGAAGAAAGATTTAGGCTGGATATCAAAGAGAAGTTCTTTACCGAGAGTGTGGTAAGGAACGGGCTGGCTGCCCAGAAAGCCTGTGGATGCCCCATCCTTGGAGGTGTTCAGGGCCAGGTTGGATGCAGCCCTGGGCAGCCTGATCTGGTATTAAATATGGAGGTTGATGGCTCTGCCTGCAGCATGGAGGATGGGGCTTAGTAATCCTTGAAATTCCTTCCAACCTAAGCCATTCTATGATTCTGTGATTCTATGATTTTGCTTCGCCAGCGGTACTATCTTGTCATAACTAGAAATGACTTCAGTTTTTGTAATTGTAGAGATGCATAGTAAATTTCACTTAAAAAATGTATATGAAATGGTTTTCTTCCATTTTCTACTTCATCTGTAACTGCAACATCTAGTTGGAAGCAGGCAGACTTCTCAGATCAGCTGTTGCCAAACAGAACTGCCACTAGAGGGCACGAAATGATTTTAAACATAAGTCATTGGTCTAAGAGAAATGAAGATGCTTTATACCATGCTATAGAATTTAGGAAAAATATATGGTGGAATTTAGGAGAAAATAAAACAGTGTTTTCAAACAGTAACATAAATTCATCAGAAATTGCATAACTTCTCTTTTTTCTTTTCTTTTTTTCTTAAGCTAGGTTGTGTAAAATCAGAAATAATTGATTAGAAAATTGAGGGTTTTTTTGCAGTATATGTTAGTTGTCTCAGCCTCTGTCTGCTTAAAAGATGACTTCTATGGGGAAATTCTTAGTCCTGCATTTGATTTTGCTTGGAATGCGTGTCTTTGCTCTCTGTTTGCAGGGATAACATTTTACCAAAATGTAAATATGCTTTCAAGATAAATCCACTATGTATGAGTCTTTCCATGTGTCATGGTTTTTTGATTTTTGGTTCTTGGTATTCCACATCATAACATCACATGGGAAGCTGGGAGTTTAACTGTTAATGCTCAAGTCCAGGGTACCTGCCCAGAAGAGAAGAAGAACTACATTCCCCAGGGGACTTTGCAGTCACGGAGAGAAGATACAACTCCTGGCAAGGTCATCTGATGGGCTCTTGTTTGTCTGCTCTTCATCGTGGGCGCTGCTCCCGTCTCCCTGCTGCTCAACTGGACTGTGCATCTCGCCTCAGTGTTATGGTGAGGCCTTTCCACCTTTCAGACATTCTCATTATATTTGATTTATTAGCTTCAATTCTGATTATATTGTATTATGGTGTGTTATATCGCATTCCGATACTATGTTTAGTAAATTAGTTTGTTTCTCCTCAGTTTGCTGTTGTTTTTAATTATTTTGGGGTCCCCTTTCCCTTTTTCTGGAGGCGCGGATTTTGTGAAATGCCTCTGCCCCGCTGGTCATGGAACTGGGCTGAACCAGCCTGTAAAACGTTGACACCATGCTGTGGCATTGGGGGCTTTAGCCCAGACTGCACAAGTCTTTGAGGAGTAATGTCTGATTTAGTATATAGCAATCCATTATGTGACAAAGATTGTATAAATAAACAAGACTCTGAGCCATGAAATGGGTAACAGCCAAGGAAAGCCAGGTAAAGCCAGCATTATGTTTCTGTGTCATAAATATGACATGGAAATAGAATAACTTCAGCAGTAGAACTATTGTAAACAATGATTTAAGTGTAGCATAGCAAAAATGAAGAATTGAGCATTCATTCAAGGCAAAGGACAAAGGACTTCCTCATAGGGTTCTGCACTTCTGCTAACCCTGGGCACTCCCAACAGGCATTTAACTTGGGAAAATAAGTGCCATGAGTTCTGGAAATCTGTGAGATTTGGGTCCGTTGAACTGAAGTTGCTCTGGTGCTGTGTAGGAATGTGGCTGGCAGAGGCCAGCATGAGAAAGTAGAGCTAGAGTCACCAGCAGCTCTTCAGTTGTACCTCTCCATTGATAAAGATAGATGAGTTTAAATTTAACCTTACATGTTTGTGGATTTTCCCTGGCCACTGTGGAATCTTGAGAATGATTTCTCTGTCTCAGCCTGAAACCAAAGGAAGTTCTCACTAACTTAGGCAACAAGCAGTTGGCATCAAGCAGAGGTATTTTCCATTCCCTTAGCACTTGCTTTTAGTGTGAGACAGCATATTCTGCTAGCAGGAAGCACTGACATTAAATTTAAGTGATACTGATGTCACATTTCAAAGGAATTTCACCTTGTCTTTCTTACTGAGTGTCTCATTCCAAATTATAGGAGGGAGAGGAGGTTCTTTGATATCTGTATACCTGGTGTGAGATTAAGAAACAACGGTTCAAATGTTGGTCCAACTAGTTTATTACAAATCTTAATCAGGGAAATGGGGAAGGGGAGAAGGGTGATAGAAAAGATAGGAAATAAAAGCAAGGAGTCTTTGTAGGAAGCAAGAAGGAGATAGTCACCACCATGGATGCAGTGTGGTTCGTAGTTCAGTCATCGATCCTCAGTAGTGGTGGGTCGTTGGGTGTTGTTGTTCCTTGTCGTTCCGTTGATGACGACAATTTTCAATGGTAGTACCAATTTATAAGTTCAGAGTGGTTGAGTCAGCTCTATTTGGAAATGACAGCTCAAATACGAAGTGGTTGAGTCAGCTCTCCTTGAAGAGGCAGCTTCTTGCTCTGGGATCTCAGCAGAAACTCCTTTTTTTCTCATCTTCCAGGCCTTGTCAGCAGATAAGAGGGAGCAGGGATGCCCACCTGCATCCTGTTTTTCACAGGACACGATGGTATTATTCCCCAGTTTTCCCATACCACCCTAGAGCTATTTAGTCACAGGCCAGATCTTCCACCAGTAAACAGTCTTGAGCACTCTCTTCTGGAGGCAAACAACTCTGGAGGAAGGGGCTTCCAAATGTCCACAAAGCGATGTTGATTGTCACACGGTAGCATCCATCACTTGCCTCCTCAATAAATCAGTTATAGGTCTTATCACAAGAAATACCTCAGAAAACAAGCTTTGAGCCAAAAAAACAGAAGGATTCTCACACTGAGGACATGCAGTATGCAGAAAGACTGGGATAGATGAGATAGATGTTCTTATTGTCTGTGTTAGCTCGAGACATATGGATTTCTTAGAAGCTCAGTGGCTAAAAACAACAAAAAGTTACTATTAGACAATGTTTTAGCTTCTGGGTTCTCAGAGAGGGCTTTTTCTTTAATGGTCTTCTGGCAAATATAAAGGCCTCCACAGGATGAGATCAGAGAATCACGGAATCATGGAACGGTTTGGATTAGAAGGGACCTTTAAGATCATCTTGTTTCAACCCTCCTGAAGGAAGGAACATCTCTCCCTTGACCTGATTGGTCAAAGCCCCATCCAACCTGACTGCCCAGCAGCTCCAGGGAAGGGGCACCCACAGTCTCTCTGGGCAACATGTTCCTGTGTCTCTCTACCCTCCCAGTAAATAATTTATTTCTGATATCTAGTCTAAATCTACCTCTTCCAGTTTAAAATCATTTCCCCTCATTTTTTATCTCTATATGACCTTATAAAAGTCCCTCCCTACCTTTCCTGTAGGCTCCCTTCAGGTACTGGAAGGCTGCTATAAGGACCCTCCAAAGCCTGCTCTTCTCCAGGCTGAACAATCTCTCAGTCTGTCCTCATGAGGGTGACATTCCAACCTTATGAACATCTTTGCAGCCCTCCTCTGGGCCTGCTCCAACATGTCTTTCTTGCGTAGGGGCTCCAATCTGGGGATCTACTGGACATAGTACTTCAGGTGGGGTCCCATGAGAGCAGAGTACGGGGACAGAATCACCTCCCTCAACCTTCTGGTCCTATCTTGCTGCAATCCAAGATACGGCCTTCTGGGTTGCAAACACATACTGCCAGCTCATACTAAGATTTCATCAACTGACACTCCCCAAATCCTTCTTAGAGCTGCTCTCAAGACATTCACCACCCATCCTGCATTTGTGCTTGGGATTGCCCCAGTCCAGGTGCAGGATCTTGCACCTGGCATTGCTGAACTTCGTGAGGTTGGCATGGGCTCATCTTTCAAACCTGTCCAGGTCTTGCTGGATGGCATCCTTTCCCGCTAGCGTGTCAACTGCATCACTCAGTTTGGTGTCATCTGCAAACTTACTGAGGATGCACTCGATCCCACTGATCCATGTTGCTTGCAAATATGTTAAACAGCACTGGTCCCAGCACTGATTCCTGAGGAATATTATTCATCACTGACCTCAACGTGGACATTGAGCTGTTAACTGCTACTCTCTGAGTGCCACCATCTAGCCAATTCCTTATCCAGTGTGTGGTCCATCCAGCAGATCCATTTTTCTCCAGTTTGGCGACAGGGATGTCATGTGGGACAGTGCCAAACACTT